TATTTTTAAGACTGTCAATAGTTCGAGAATGAAACTAATAATTCACGCTGAGTTTAAGAGTGTTTTCAATACTTATCTCATCTAATTTACAATCTTTTAATACTAAAATATAAATAACCGCGTTATATTATTATTACTAAATATAATATAAGAGCAATTATATTATTATCGTTGAATAATTACCACACATCTTTTATTTGTTATAACGTGATAAGGTGATTTTGAACGTGAACATCCAAATAGAGATAAATATGAGTTCTTAAAAGTCTTCTCCAGCTCACATGCCCTTAATTAATTAATCCTTCAAGTTGGCATTAGATTAGTCACTAATTTAATTCGTAAAGTCAAAACTAATTATCCAATCAAAATAATTTAAAATTTAATGCAAATTTATATGGACCAAGCTCAATAAATGTTTACATGTCTACACTAAGATCTACATAGTATAATACTAAATTTGGATAATAAAAATGAGGTGACATATTTTATCAATAAACATCAATATGTATCTTTTATCTTGATTATTTTTAACTTTTTTCTTAATTTTCTGATCAACAAACTAGTAAAAAATATATTTATTTCCTCATTAATTATTTGACCAACAAACTTAGAACGACTTGTACTTTGCATTTTCCCCCTTTTTTTTCTTGTCCGATCAAAGTTTAGAGAATTTAGCATCAATCAACATAAATTAATAAATTATGATAGTTAATCCTCCCATGTCATTAATTAATCTACAATTTGATAGTACTAAAATAATATAGTTGGTAATACCTACGTATTAGCTGACATTCATAAATTTTAATGAAGTTTGTTATTATATTTAAATATATATTCACATTTCACACTCAATATTTATAGAAAATTATATTAATTATGATAGTTAATCCTCCCAAGTCAATAATTAATCTGCAATTTGATAGTACTAAAATAATATAGTTGGTAATACCTACGTAGAGTTGACATTAATGAAGTTTGTTATTATATTTAAATATTTATTCACATTTCACACTCAATATTTATAGCAAATTATATTAATTATAATATTTAATCCTCCCATGTCATTAATTAATCTACAATTTGATAGTACTAAAATAATATAGTTGGTAATAATACCTACGTATAGTTGACATTAATCAATTTTAATGAAGTTTGTTATTATATTTAAATATTTATTCACATTTCTTACTCAATAAAAAATAATTATAGAAAATTATATTAATTATGATAATTAATTAAATGAGACATTTAATAATTAATTATAATTAAATAATAAAAAATTATATTGACAATTTATATTATTAAGTGCATCCGTATATTGATTTAATATAAAAATTTGATCGAAAAAAGTTTGTGGCGGGTGATTTTGCTTATAATGTGAATAACTAGCTAGAGATAAATTATGAGTTGTTCTCAGCAAAATAATCATTAAAAAATAACGAGTTGTTAAAAGTCTTGTCCAATTCACATGCCCTTAATTACTTTTCACAAAATTTCAAAAATAGCAAAGATAATAGACATAAGGCTCTATATATCTATAGTTTCAATAATTGCGCTCCATAGTTATAATTTCGTTTGCTATGAAAATTGTGGTTTGTATATTTCACTTGCAAATATACAAATAGTGTAAGTATATACAAATGGAGGTTGCGGTTTGTATATTTCGCTTGCGAATATACAAACATGGTAAGTATATACAAATTATATATTTTTACATTTAGAATTTTTTCAGAACTCTATTTGTATATTTCGCTTGCAGGGTAATTCATTATGAATTTTTCATAAATCCTATACAAATTGTTGAAGTGATGTTATTGAACTGTGTGCTATGTAGATTGTGAATTGTTAAAGTGTATTGGTTTTATGCATGTTGTAGCTGTGGAGGTTCGATTGGAGTGTAAGGAGTACCCGTGTTCTATATTCTTAGCTCTGGGTTTAGGAGTTTGCTTGCTGAGTGTTGCGTGGTTTGGTACCCACCTCTTGCTTCTACATTTGTGTAGGTTATGAGCCCATATCTTCGTGATACTCTCTCTCTTTTGCTTATCCAAGTACAAAACATTTGTGTATACCCTTGAAATCCCTTGGTATTTTGCCTACTCACTTCCATTAAAATTCATCTCAATCTATCCATGACTCTCCTTGTAGATTTCAACTTAAGGACCATTTCATCATACCAAATAAATTAATGTTTTGTATTCCCTCTGTCCTTAATTACTTGTTCACTTTTCAATTTATACAACTATTAAGAAAACAATAATTAATGAAGTGAGTTTACCATTTTATCCCTATTAATTATGAGGTGGATGAATTAAAATCTAGTTCTACCATTTTCAAAGTAATTAATTGAGAGTATAATAGGTAAAAAATATTTGTCCTTTCTTGATTTGTCAAAATTGACAAATAATTATGGATAATTAAAAAAAAATGTGAACAACTAATTAGGAACAGAGGAAGTACGATTGAACATGTGGGGGCAGTGAAGACTATGGAATTAGTGATATCGAAGATTTGGGCAAATACCAATTGCTCTGTCAACATAAGTGTTGCTATATAAATTATATTATTTTTAATAATCGAAAACATGTAAACCCATCCCACCCACATAGCCTTAAACTCACCCCGCCCCGCATATCATTGCCATCCCTATATATAAAATAATGGAATAATGTAATACATTTGAAAAACAAACCAAGCTTTGAAGCAATCTATTTCCAAGTGCATATATAGTAACAACATGAAGAAGAACAATTTCTTATTATTGATTCTTCTCTTTCTAATTCAATTTTCTATATCACTTTCTTCCTCTAATGAGACTGACCAACAAGCTCTACTAGCTTTCCAAAATCTTGTTACAAGTCCCACTCATTTTTTGGCCAATAATTGGACCAAAAATACTTCTTTTTGCACTTGGTTTGGTGTCACTTGCAGTCCAAAAAGGCAAAGGGTTGTAGCCTTGACTCTTCCTAATTTGCAACTTCAAGGCACAATTTCCCCGTCTTTGGCCAATTTGTCCTTCCTCAGTGTTCTCAATCTCCAGAACAACAGCTTCCGCGGTGGCATCCCTTATGAACTTGGCCAAATGCCTCGCTTGCGAGTGATTGACGTTAAAAACAATCAGCTCAACGGAAGTATACCAACAAGTCTATTTCAACACCAGAGAGTTCAAGTAATTTCATTGGCTTTGAATGAATTCAGTGGTGAGATGTGGAGAGGGCCATGGTATGTACCCCAACTCAGAGTCTTAAATCTCAGGAATAATAGCCTCACCGGTATAATCCCTCCTTCTGTTGGAAATGCGACGAAGTTGCTGAATTTCAGTTTGTATGGGAATAAAGTTGGCGGGAACATTCCAAAGGAAATTGGTAATCTGAGCCAGCTTGCATTTTTGTACTTGTTCAATAATCAATTAATAGGTTTCATTCCCGCAACATTGTTTAATATTTCATCACTTGTTGCCCTATCTCTTGGAACCAATAGCCTTTCCGGTCCTCTCTTGCTTGATAAAGGAAATAGTGTCTCAAATCTCAAACTTTTAAGTATATATCACAACCAAATTTCTGGTTGCATTCCTACCAACATATGCCAACTCACAGAGCTCAATTTTTTGTCCATATCTATCAACAACATAACTGGAGACATACCAAGAAATATTGGTTGTTTATCCAAA